ACCTAGTGGATCAAAACATTTGGAAACTTCAGCAAGCAAAACTCTCTTAGTTAATTTATTGGGCATACTGTAATTATTAGGTTTTAACATTAACAAATCTCTCTCAGTATCCCAATTTAAACCCAATACATTACACTTTTGTACTTCATCTCCAGGGTAATCTTTACTTATTTTGTCCTTCAATTTGGACGAATTACTATTCCATTCCCTCAGAGGCTATTTGCACTTTGCATTATTTTAATTAGCCTCTCCATAAGTCATTAACAGTTCCTCTTCAGTTGATGTCACACCCAGGAAATTGTCCAAAATAAAATTGTTGCTCATTACTTTACTCAATGGATTCCCGTACATTTAAGGTGTGCATTTATCGTCGCTTGAAGTAGGAACGGACTGGAAATGTAGCACCAAATAATACGCCCCTAAAGCAAAAAGGTTTTCAGAGGGCTAAGTGGGTCAATAGGATTCTCGGGCCATAAGAAAGCGGGTACAATCCCAGTCAGCCTCTTGTAAACCCACTCTTAGGAAAGCTTTACTTATGTCAGCCGTAAAGGCATAATTCTTTACCCTGAAATTTAATAAGATATCTCCTAATTTTTCCGTCAATGACGGACCTGTCATCAAACAGTCATTTAAACTAGGTACATTTTTTTTACTCCTGGCACTACAATTAAACACAATCCTCAAAGGAGTGGTCTTGGAATCCTTCACTCCGTGATGTGGCAAAGAGTGACCATAAATTTTGGCTTGCTCAGGAGGTACCTCTTCTATAAATTTATTAATTAACTGCTCAGCAATTATATCATTATAGGCAGTTAACAATTCTGGTGTCTTACTCAGTTCGCGGAGCTGAGCATTTAATTGTCCATATGCCATTCTGTAATTAGTGGGCAATTCTGGATGGTTCAGTCTCCACGGAAGTCGTACTCAGTATTGTCCAGATTCAAATTTTACATCTCTCAGGTATTGTTCTTGAGTAAAAGAATCGTCTGGACTTTCTTCAGTTACATTTATTCCAATGTTGTCTAATTCCCACAATTTATGCACTCGTTCAACACCATCCTCTATGGAAGAATTATACTGGGGCACGATTTCATGAGTAAGACACACAGTTATGGTATTTGTAGTTTCCTCTAGTCGTGAATTATTATTACAAGGAATCCTACCATACATTACATGGCCTCCTGCAGTCTTTAAAAGGGTGACACCACATTTCTTTACCATACCCTTTACAAAGGAGGCATAATAGTCACTACCTATTAAAATATTTATTGGGCCTACAGAATCATCACTTACCCCAGAAGGTGCTAAATTCACATTATGTGAAAGTCTTTCTGTAGCTCTACTAAGCCCTACTGTAGATATTTTCTCTGGAAGTCTATCTACAATTACTGCATTAACATGTTTTTTCTCATTACCTAACCTGACAGTTACATAAACAGTGTCATACAATTGAGCCCTTTTATCCGAGAGAAAACCAGATAATTTTAAAGTTGTGGGATCTCCCATCTGTACTTTCATACCATCAGGACATTTACGTTTAATGAAAGTACATTGGGATCCCTGGTCTAATAATGCAGTTACATTTTTTGATTTATGCCTATCATCAATTTTTACCTGTAACACAGGTAAGGCTACTTCAGTAAAACCATCATTATTAACATTAGCAGCAATTTTTACATTAGCTACTGTTGTGTCAAGATTGTAAGCATTATCAATATTATCATATAGACCTTTACACATGACTATATGGTGTCTTCCTTTGTGACATTGATAACAGAAGTTTAATTTGGCATAACAACCCTTTACATTGTGATTACCCAAACACCTGATACATTTGTCAAGTTCCTCCAATCTTTCAACATTATCATTCCATGAATTGTATGCATTGCAATTCTTAGAAACATGAGTACCCTTGCAGAAGAGACAATCTCTCTTTTCTCTGACTGGTTTCTTATTAACTGGGCTACTCTTAGGAGGGTACTTATTCTTCTTACCTTGTGGAGAATCATTATTTCTGATTCCTGCTACTAGATATGCACCTATGCAACTCTTTTTAGGAAATGAAATTTGAATATTAACATTGGGATAATTTTTCCCTTTGTGACACTTGACAGATACCTCAGAGTTATTATGTGTTGCATCTTTAAAATGAGTTGGTTGGCTGGTCTGCAACTGAACAATTAATTCTTGTAGACCTAGTCTTATTTCCTCGAGACCAAAATAACCCTTGTGATATTTGTTTGAGAGCCATTCAAGTGTTTTATAGCTTAATTTATTCTGTACCATGGCACTCAATAACCAGTCTGATTCCTTCAGATTAATATATTTATTACTTAAAGTTTTTGAGAGTGCTCTCCAGTTTAACTCTAAACTGCTGTAAACCTTTGTAAGTGTGATCTGGAGATTTTAAATTAACAATGATATTCACTAGATCCAACCTACTTTGTTCTATATTACCATAAGTGACTTTCAACAAGTCAACTGCTTCCTTGTAAGAGTCATCTACATTGGGAAAGGCTTGTATGAGTATATGAGCATCTACTCTTACCTGTCCTTTGAGGTAAAATAATTTAGTTACACAGGCTAGGTCACTCCTGTCATGCACAGCTGCTTTAAAAATGGACCAAAACTCCTCCCAATTTTCTCCAGGATTAAATACAGGTAAACATAATTCTGGGAGTTTTGGCAAAGACATATTATTTGTTGGAGCAGACTGATTAACTGCCTGGTTTACACATTTTAATTTATTCAAGGCCTGACTTTTACAAGAAAGAATCTTTTCTTCTAATTCATAATACTGATTAATCATAAGATCTACTTCAGTCTCATCTACACAGTTTACTAACAAATCTCCTTCATATTTGTTGTAATATCATTTGTATGAATCATATCTATTACCTAAAGCATCTAAATACAATTTTATATCATCAGTATTCACAGTTTCTTGATTGATTAATTCCAAACATTTATTGTATGCTTTTGTTACATGCCTTTTTCTAGCTTGCAGAGATGCTTTCTTTGCTCTATATTCCATATGTTTGTCTTCTATATTAATTTCCTCATTTTCAGCCATGATGCAATGTATTAAATTCAACCCAATTAATAACACTGATTACAACTTACAACACTGATACAAGTTACCTTTGAATAAATCCTAGCTACTTGAGCTTAGCAATTACATGTATAATATAAATTTTAAATGTACATTAATACAAACTTGGCTCCTCAAAATTAATATTATACAAATTAATAAATCCTTGCCAGAATTTGACATAGCAAAATTAATATACACATTAATAATTAGCTACACATGGCTTATCAATTACACATACACTGATATAAATCTTGGCCAGAATTGACTTATCAAATTAATATTATACAAATATAAATCCTTGCCAGAATTTGGCATAGCAAAATTAATATTATACACAATATAATCTTTATCCACACTTGTCTTATCAATTACACATACACTGATATAAATCTTGGCCAGAATTGTCTTTTCAAATTAATATTGTAATAATTATAATCCACTACACATTAAGTAAATTTGTGAACTTAACATCCACCTCCTACTGTCATTTCACATATAATTATTAAGTAATTAACCAATTAATGACTTCACTAATTACCTCCGGTTCAAGAAGGACCAACGGGTAAATTAAATGTGAAAAATTGCATTTAGCTGAATGTATCATTATGTACATAACAGTAAATGAACAGATAATTATTATTAGTTAGACAAGTAGGAATTTTATGACACCTAGGTCGCAAAAAATGTCCCCCTTCGATACCTACCACTGTCATATCCACAAGTTGCTCTGGACCTATTAATTAAATGAAATATCACCAGGAATGCTGGTAAATATATAAATTTGTGGACTGTATATTAAAATTGAAAAAGGATTATATATACACAAATTTACATAACAGAAGGAAAATATATCTTAATATCACTCACCATTTTGACTGGAGATTAATGTGTATCATACTCAGAAAACCTCACTCTAAGTAAATCTATGAAAATAATGCTGGCCAGAATTATACACAAATCTAGAGAGCTTATCTGAGGTTCCTGGAGCTGTCTTGTCCAGTCGCCTGATATCTCGAGTTATGCAGGAATGCACATCCAACAATTTCGCCTCCTATTTGAGAGGTGTCAATGCAATTTTAACCTCTAGAGCACGAAAAATTCTTCCCATTACAACGTTTCTAATACAAATTCAAAACCCAAGATGGCGAGTCTCGTCTGCGCAGACGCAGGCTTTCCGTTTTCTATGACATATATATTATTAAATACAGTATGGCCATCTATTTACATATAAATACTGAATTTCTGGAAAATATATACAGTATTTTCCACAGGTTATATATATACACAATTACATGACAGAAGGAAAATATATCTTAATATCACTCACCAATTTGACTGGAGATTAATGTGTATCATACTCAGAAAACCTCACTCTAAGTAAATCTATGAAAATAATGTTGGCCAGAATTATACACAAATCTAGAGAGCTTATCTGAGGTTCCTGGAGCTGTCTTGTCCAGTCGTCTGATATCTCAAGTTATGCAGGAATGCACATCCACCAATTTCGCCTCCTATTTGAGAGGTGTCAGCACAATTTTAACCTCTAGAGCACGACAAATTCTTCCCCATTCACCAACGATTCTAATTCAAATTAAAAAACCAAGATGGCGAGTCTCGTCTGCGCAGACGCAGGCTTTCCGTTTTCTATGACATAAATATTATTAAATACAGTATGGCCATCTATTTACATATAAATACTGAATTTCTGGAAAGTATATACAGTATGTTCCACAGGTGGTATACATGTTACATGCAGCCTTAACGACTCTGACGGGTTTTAAACCTAACAATCAAACCTCATATGTACACGTACTTAATACACTTGTTACATGTGTCCTACATATATACTACAAATGTGCTGCAAGTGTGCCACAGATGTGCTACAGGTGTTTCTCATCCTGCACAGGTGCAGGAGAGTCTGGCAAGACCACCATCATTAAACAGATGAAGATTCTTCACATCAGTGGCTTCTCTCCAGAGTAAGTTTCTCACTAGAAAGTTTTCCACTGGTAAGTTAGTCCACTTACTAAGTTCTCCACTAGTAAGTCCTCTATTAGTAAATCTTTCACTTTTAAGTCCTCCACAGGAAGTTAGATCACTAGTAAGTTCTCCACTAATGAGTCTTAAACTTACTCATTAGTAAGTTCTCCACCATTAGTCTCTCACTAGTACTTCCTCGGTAAGTAATTTTCTCAACTTGTAAGTTCTCCACTAGTACAAAATACACTAGTAATCTCTCCACTAATAACTTGCTCAACTAGGTCATAGACTAGTAAATCATCCAGTAGGAAGTTACTCCACTGTTAAACCTCCTCCATTAGCCATTCCTCCATTAGTAAATCAGCTGTTAATTTCACTAATAATTTTCTTCACATGAATTGTTAAATATCAGCTCAAGAATTCAGATGTCTGCACTTTAAATTTTATTTATCCGGCTGAAGAATTTTCTCCAAATCAATTAAATTGTGGTTTCAGCTGCCATTTATTTCACTGGAGTCACTGGGGTTTCATTTGCTATATTGTGTTTGTTATGGCTTCTGTAGCGCCTGTGAACCTCCCCATGTACTTTTACTTAAACTCTGTGCCACTTTGCCTAACTGAACTTTCCGCACCATAGAGAGAAGCGGGAGAAGGCGCAGGACATCCGCAACAACATCATGGAAGGCATCACCACTCTAACAAGGAATCTGGACGAGTTAAACATAGAACTGGAGCAAGAGGAGAACCAAGAGGCCAAGGATTATATCCTCAGTATTGACCCTGAGAACTTCAACTTCCCCGAGGTTGGTGGTTAGGGAAGAGGGGTAAAGATCGCAGAGTAAGGCAGAGAGAATAAGAAGGGTAGGTAGTGTAAGATTAGTGAAGAAGGAAGGGATAGAATGATGTGAAGCAGTGGAAGAAGCAGTCCGTAGGACTGAAGATGGATGAAAGAAGAGTGTGTTGGGTGTGTATGTGTCTATTGCAGGTACTGGAGCAGCGATATTCTCGTTATGCGTCCATTAATTCATTTCTGATATTAGCTGTTGTTGCTTTTGCAATTGGCGTTTCTGCTGCAGTTTCTGCTGCAGCTGTTGTTGATGCTGCTTCTTTTCACAAAATCGCGTCGTTGTCACTTTCTGGTTAAATAATCTGTCGCACATTGCATGCTAGTACCTTAATAAAATTAATTATTAAAATGTTGAGACTTCAACTCACCTGTAAATCTGTCACTAAATATGCGACCAAGAAAAATCCATTGATAACTCATATTCAATTCAATTCAAAGTTTATTCTCTATAAGGATTACAATGCTGAGTTTACAGAATTTGGTTATTGTGTGGTTTACATGTAGTAAAATAATGATTACAGAGTTTTCAGTACAATACGATGGTAGAATTTAAGAGTATAAAAACCAGTGTCAAGAGACACTTGTCCTGTCTCCTGACCAACTTATAACAACAACGGTATTCCTGAAAATTTTTTTTTCATTTTAGCTAATTTAAACCCCTAAAAAAATGGCTTTTAAATTTCCCAAACTGAGGCAAGGGGGGGGGCTTTTTGATTTTAATTTTTTGGAGGACACTTTGCCTTAGACAAAACAGAGAAATAAACTTTTACATTAAAGGTAAGTTTTTGCCCCCTTATGCCAAATTTTAAAGAATCAAAAAATTTTTTGGGGGTACTTTTTTCCCCTTTTGGTTTGGGCCCAAATTTGGGCATGGGAACTCCAAATTGGAATTTTTCTTTAACCCAACCAATTAATTCATCCCCCCTTTTAAAGGGGAAATTCTTCAGGTAGAATTTCACCCCCAAGCACTTTTAAATTTTTCCCAAATGCTCCTGTTTTAAAATGATTTCCCTCTTATAGTAAGGGGGGGAACACAAAAACTATTTGGGACCCCAAAAATTTTGGAACTTCAGCAAGAAAAAAACTCTTTTAGTTAATTTTTGGGCTACTGTAATTATTGGGTTTTTAAACATTAAAAAAATCTTTTTAAATACCCCAATTAAAACCCAAAATTTACATTAACTTTTGTATTCATTTCCAGGGTAATTTTATTTAATTTTTTTCCTTCTTTTTGGGAAAACAAATTTACTTTTTCCCATTCCCTCAGAGGCTTTTTGCACTTTGCATTTTTTTAATTGCCTCTCCTTAAGTATTAACATTTTCCTTTTTCAGTTGATGTCACACCCGGGAAAATTTTGTCCACAAAAAATTGGGGTTTGGGTATTCCCTTTACTAAAGGGGGTTTCCCCCTTCTTTTAAAGGTGTGCATTTTTTCGTCGTTTGAAGTAGGAACGGAAGGGAAATGTAGACCAAAAAATTTCGCCAAAAGCAAAAAGGTTTTCAGAGGGCTAAGGGGGTAAATTGGGTTCTCGGGCCAAAAGAAGGGGTAAAATTTCCCAGTCAGCCTCTTGAAAACCCACTCTTAGGAAAGGCTTTACTTATGTCAGCCGAAAAGGCTTTAAACTTTCCCCTGAAATTTAATAAATATTCCTAATTTTTCCCGTCAATGAGGGAAACCTGTCTTTAAAACAGTCATTTAAACTAGTACATTTTTTTTATTCCTGGCACTAAAATTTAAAAACACAATCTCAAAGGATGGTCTTGAATCCTTCACCCCCGTGATGTGGCAAAGAGTGCCAAAAAATTTTGGTTGTAAGGAGGTACCTCTTCTATAAATTTTTTAAATTAACTCCCCCGGGGCAAATTATATCATTTAGGATTTTAAAAATTTTGGGTTTTCTTACTCAGTTCCCCGGAAAGCTGAGTTTTAATTGGAATATGCCATTCTTTTTTTTAAAGTGGGAAATTCGGGAAATTTGTTGTTTTCCCGGGAAAAGTCGTATTTCGTTTTTTGGTCCAGATTCAAATTTTACTTCTCAGGTTTTTTGGGTTTTTTAAATTTAAAAGAATCTTGGACTTTTCTTCAGTTACGTTTTCCAATGTTGTCTAATTCCCACAATTTATGCACTCTTTTCAACCCCATCCTCTAGGGGAAAAAATTATACTGGGGCAGGGTTTTTCTTTGAGTAAGAACACGGGTTAGGTTTTTGTTTTTTTCCTCTAGTCGTGAATTATTATTACAAGGAACCCATACCATAAAATTACATGGCCTCCTGCAGTCTTTTAAAAGGGGGGACCCCAAAATTTCTTTACCATCCCCCTTTAAAAAAGGAGGAAAATTAGTCACTACCTTTTTAAAAATATTTTTTGGGCCCTTCAGAATCATCATTTACCCCAGAAGGTGCAAAAAATTACATTATGGAAAGTCTTTCTGTGGGCCCCTACTGGGGCCCTACTGTAAAATTTTTTTCTGGAAGTCTATTAAAATTACTGCATTAAAACTGTTTTTTCTCATTACCTAACCTAAACAGTTACTTTAAAACCGTGTCTTTAAAATTTGGGACCCCTTTTTTATCGGGAGAAAAAAGATAATTTTAAAGTTGGGGGGATCCCCCTTCTGTACTTTTTTTCCCCATCGGAAAATTTAGGGTTTAAAATAAAAGAAATTTGGGGGATCCCTGGTTTTTTTTAATAATGCATTTAAAATTTTTTGATTTTCCCTATCATAAATTTTTTTCCCTTTTACACAGGTAAGGGGCAAACTTCTTTTAAAACCCTCATTTTTTAACTTAGCAGCAATTTTTACATTAGCTACGGGTTGTGTAAGATTGAAAGAAATTAAATTTTTATCTTATAAAACTTTACCGGGGGACTTTGGTGTAATTCCTTGGGGCCTTTGGATAAAAAAGGGGTTAAAAATTTGGGGGTTCAAACCCGTTATTTTGGGGGAATTACCCCCCCCCTGAAATTTGTCAAGTTTCCTCCAATCTTTCAACATTTTTTTTTCCCATGAATTTTTAAGCATTGCAATTCTTAAAAAACTTTAAGTACCCTTGCAAAAAGAGAAATCTCTCTTTTCTTAAATGGTTTTTATTAATGGGTTACTCTTAGGGGGGTTTAACTTATTTTTTTTCTTCCCTTTTTTGGAGAATCATTTTTTGTTTTTCCTGTACTAGTTGCACCTATGCAAACTCTTTTTAGGAAATAAAATTTGAATATTAACATTGGGAAAATTTTTTCCCTTTGGGGACATTGACAGTTTACTAAGAGTTATTATGGTTGCATCTTTAAAAGGGTTTGGGGTTGGTTGGTCTGGAAACCCGAAAAATTAATTCTTGTAAAACCTAGTCTTATTTCCTCGAGACCAAAAAACCCCTTGTGAAATTTTTTTTGGGAACCCCCTTTAAGTGTTTTTAGTTAATTTATTCTTACCATGGCACCCCAATTTAACCCAGTCTGATTCCTTCAGAAATTTATTTTTACTTAAAGTTTTGAGATTTGCTCCCCTTTTAAACTCAAAACTGTGAAAAACCTTTTTGAAAGGGTGTGATCGGGGAGTTTTTAAAAATTAACAATGATATTCATAGATCCAACCTCTTTGTTCTTTTTTTCCCAAAAGGTGACTTTAAACAAGTCAACTGCTTTTTTTGAGTCTCAACATTGGGAAAGGTTTTGAAAGAGTTATGAGCATTACTCTTACCTGTCCTTTGGGGAAAATTTAATTTTTGTTTAAACAGGCTAGGTCACTCCTGTCATGCACAGCTCTTTAAAAATGGCCAAAAAACCTCCCCCAAATTTTTCCCCCAAGGATTAAATCCCGGAAAAACATAATTCTGGGGTTTTGGAAAAAGACATATTATTTTTTGGGAGCGGGGACTGATTAATGCCGGGTTTTACACTTTTTAAAATTAAAATTCAAGGCCTGACTTTTACAAGAAAGAATTTTTCTTCTAATTCAAAATTGATTAATCTTAAGATCTACTTCAGTTCATCTCCAGTTTCTAACAAATCTCCTTTTCTTTATTTGTTGAAAATTATAATTTGTATGAATCATATCTATTACCAAAAGCATCAAAATTTACAATTTTATATATCGTTTTACAGTTTCTTAAATTGTTTAAATTTTCCCAAATTTATTGTATGTTTTTGTTACATCCCTTTTTCTAGCTTGCAGAGAGGGTTTTTCTTTGCTCTAAAATTCCATATTTTTGTCTTTTTAAAATTTCCTTTTTTCAGCCATGATGCAATGTTTTTAAATTCAACCAAATTAATAACACGGGATTACAACTTAAAAAATGATACAAGTTCCCTTTTGAAAAAATCCTAGCTACTTGAGCTTAGCAATTCGGGTTAAAATAAAAATTTTTAAAATTTTTACTTTAAATAAAACTTGGCCCTAAAAATTTAAATATTATAAAAATTTTAATAAATCCTTGCCAGAATTTGACATAGAAAAATTAAATATAAAATTAATAATTAGTACACATGGCTTATCAATTACACATACACTGATATAAATCTTGGCCAGAATTGACTTTTAAAATTAAAATATTATACAAATAAAAAATCCTTCCCCAAAATTTTGGCCCATAGAAAAATTTAAATATTTACACAATAAAAATCTTTACCCACATTGTCTTATAAATTAACTTTACACTGATAAAATTTTGGGGCCGGGAATTTTGTTTTTAAAATTAAATTTATTGAAATAATTATAACCCATACACTTTAAAGTAAATTTGTAAAATTAAAACATCCCCTCCCAAACTGCCCATTTCACAAATAATTTTTAAAGTAATTAACCAATTAATGACTTCATAATTACCTCCGGTTCAAAAAAGGGGCCCAACGGGAAAATTTAAATGTGAAAAATTGCATTTTAGCTAAAGGGAATCATTATGTACATACAGTAATGAACGATAATTATTATTAGTTGGACAAGAAAAAAATTTTATGACCCCTG